ACGAATACTCTCTCTCCCTCCCCGTCTCTTTCTCCTGGCAGTGGACGGTGTTATACCTACCCCGAGGACGGGGGATAGACGCGCCCGTCCTTTCACCGTCTCTTGCTACCACCAGCAGTGAACTAACGTGCTTAACAACATCCAATATCCTGGTAACTATGATACCATCTCCGCTTGTAAGGGAACGGGCTAATTGGCCGCAACATCAGTGAACTTCGAAGTAAAAGCAACATCAGTGAACTTCGAAGTAAAAGTAACATCAGTGGACTTCGAAGTAAAAGTAACAGCAGTGGACTTCGAAGTAAAAGTAACAGCAGTGGACTTCGAAGTAAAAGTAACAGCAGTGGACTTCGAAGTAAAAGTAACAGCAGTGGACTTCGAAGTAAAAGTAACACCAGTGAACTTCGAAGTAAAAGCAACATCAGTGAACTTCGAAGTAAAAGTAACATCAGTGGACTTCGAAGTAAAAGTAAGAGCAGTGGACTTCGAAGTAAAAGTAACAGCAGTGGACTTCGAAGTCGCCGCCATGATGAGGATTCACAGCGTCCAGCCGTCGAAGATGCATCAGCCAGTGGCACCTCTTTCAGGGGTCGAGTTCGATGTCTCCCCAACAACCAGCAGACCATCAGAGTCCCCAGAGGATCGCGTGTGCCAACAGCCAGCTAGATCCGAAAGTGCGCCATCTAGCGAGGCCAGCAGCGGCGTCAGTTGGACCCAGAGAGACTTCAGCGGCCCGCAGCAGGACGCGAAGGCGGGAGAACGGGTGCGTCGCTACCGGAAGCGGTTGTGCGTGCGCTGGGGAGTCCTGCGGTGGTCGTTGGCTCTGGTGCTGGTGGTCAGGTCCTCGGCCAGTTCGAGGCCGTGTCAACACGGGTGTCCCCACACACGGGCCCCGGCCTTCACTCCGCTAACTGTCCATTGATAACAACGGTGATCTTACGTATACAACAGCAACTTGCGATGGCTTTTTGGTTGGTGTCACTGTTGCAAAAGTATTGCAGATGCAAGACTTGCGTCCTTGTATTGTAATGTACAAGGCTTGCGTCCTTGTATTGTAATATACAAGGCTTGCGTCCTTGTATTGTAATGTACAAGACTTGCGTCCTTGTATTGTAATGTACAAGACTTGCGTCCTTGTATTGTAATATACAAGGCTTGCGTCCTTGTATTGTAATGTACAAGGCTTGCGTCCTTGTATTGTAATGTACAAGACTTGCGTCCTTGTATTGTAATATACAAGGCTTGCGTCCTTGTATTGTAATGTACAAGGCTTGCGTCCTTGTATTGTAATGTACAAGGCTTGCGTCCTTGTATTGTAATATACAAGGCTTGCGTCCTTGTATTGTAATATACAAGGCTTGCGTCCTTGTATTGTAATATACAAGACTTGCGTCCTTGTATTGTAATGTACAAGACTTGCGTCCTTGTATTGTAATATACAAGGCTTGCGTCCTTGTATTGTAATATACAAGACTTGCGTCCTTGTATTGTAATATACAAAGGCTTGCGTCCTTGTATTGTAATGTACAAGGCTTGCGTCCTTGTATTGTAATGTGCAAGACTTGCGTCCTTGTATTGTAATATACAAAGGCTTGCGTCCTTGTATTGTAATATACAAGACTTGCGTCCTTGTATTGTAATATACAAGGCTTGCGTCCTTGTATTGTAATATACAAGGCTTGCGTCCTTGTATTGTAATGTACAAGGCTTGCGTCCTTGTATTGTAAATGTAAGACTTGCTTCCCTGTTTTGTAGACGCAAGATTTGTTTCCCTATGTTGCTGACGCAAAACTTGCTTCTTTGTATTGATTCACTGCTTGTGACAGAGCGAACGGAACAAGTGGGGGGGGGGGGGGGGTGAGGGAAGGAAGTATTCAATAGATTGGTACGTGTCTAACAGTGTTGTGACCCCCTCCCCCAGTTTTGTGACCCCCTCCCTCAGTGTTGTGACCCCTCCCTCAGTGTTGTGACCCCTCCCTCAGTGTTGTGACCCCTCCCTCAGTGTTGTGACCCCTCCCTCAGTGTTGTGACCCCCTCCCTCAGTGTTGTGACCCCTCCCTCAGTGTTGTGACCCCCTCCCTCAGTGTTGTGACCCCTCCCTCAGTGTTGTGACCCCTCCCTCAGTGTTGTGACCCCTCCCTCAGTGTTGTGACCCCTCCCTCAGTGTTGTGACCCCCTCCCCCAGTTTTGTGACCCCCTCCCTCAGTGTTGTGACCCCTCCCTCAGTGTTGTGACCCCTCCCTCAGTGTTGTGACCCCTCCCTCAGTGTTGTGACCCCTCCCTCAGTGTTGTGACCCCCTCCCTCAGTGTTGTGACCCCTCCCTCAGTGTTGTGACCCCCTCCCTCAGTGTTGTGACCCCTCCCTCAGTGTTGTGACCCCTCCCTCAGTGTTGTGACCCCTCCCTCAGTGTTGTGACCCCTCAGTGTTGTGACCCCTCCCTCAGTGTTGTGACCCCTCCCTCAGTGTTGTGACCCCTCAGTGTTGTGACCCCTCCCTCAGTGTTGTGACCCCCTCCCCCAGTGTTGTGACCCCCTCCCCCAGTGTTGTGACCCCCTCCCTCAGTGTTGTGACCCCCTCCCTCAGTGTTGTGACCCCTCCCTCAGTGTTGTGACCCCTCCCTCAGTGTTGTGACCCCTCAGTGTTGTGACCCCTCCCTCAGTGTTGTGACCCCCTCCCCCAGTGTTGTGACCCCCTCCCCCAGTGTTGTGACCCCTCAGTGTTGTGACCCCTCCCTCAGTGTTGTGACCCCCTCCCTCAGTGTTGTGACCCCTCCCTCAGTGTTGTGACCCCTCCCTCAGTGTTGTGACCCCCTCCCTCAGTGTTGTGACCCCTCCCTCAGTGTTGTGACCCCTCCCTCAGTGTTGTGACCCCCTCCCTCAGTGTTGTGACCCCTCCCTCAGTGTTGTGACCCCCTCCCTCAGTGTTGTGACCCCCTCCCTCAGTGTTGTGACCCCTCCCTCAGTGTTGTGACCCCCTCCCTCAGTGTTGTGACCCCTCCCTCAGTGTTGTGACCCCTCCCTCAGTGTTGTGACCCCTCAGTGTTGTGACCCCTCCCTCAGTGTTGTGACCCCCTCCCTCAGTGTTGTGACCCCTCCCTCAGTGTTGTGACCCCTCCCTCAGTGTTGTGACCCCCTCCCTCAGTGTTGTGACCCCTCCCTCAGTGTTGTGACCCCTCCCTCAGTGTTGTGACCCCTCCCTCAGTGTTGTGACCCCTCCCTCAGTGGTGTGACCCCCTCCACCAGTGTTGTGACCCCTCCCTCAGTGGTGTGACCCCCTCCCTCAGTGTTGTGACCCCCTCCCTCAGTGGTGTGACCCCCTCCCTCAGTGGTGTGACCCCCTCCCCCAGTGTTGTGACCCCTCCCTCAGTGGTGTGACCCCCTCCCTCAGTGGTGTGACCCCTCCCTCAGTGTTGTGACCCCTCAGTGTTGTGACCCCTCAGTGTTGTGACCCCTCCCTCAGTGTTGTGACCCCTCCCTCCCTCCTTCAGTGGTGTGACCTCACCGGTGAGTTTCGAACCCACGTCACCACAGTGCTCAAGCAGTGACCCATTCACCCATAACACTTCTAAGAGTCGGGGGGTAGTTGAAAAATTAACTCTCCAAAGTTCATTTTCACTTTATTTATGGTCTGACGCCCAGAAGCGTTTCGCAAGAGCACTTACTACATTCTCAAAGACAATGGTGGTCACGTGATCTCTCTACAGTAGTTTGATAGGTGGCTACAAGAAGCTGCCTTCAGCTCGTGTCAAAGTGGTTTGTCATTGATGTGACGTTTGATTGACGTTGATATGCAACATGCGTGATTGAAATGATCTTTGATGACGCGGTTATGTCCCTTCACGACCCGGCTGTAAGTGTAAAAGTGTTCATTCACGCAAGTACTTAATTACTTAACTGGTGCACTTATGAGTGTGTCTGGCTGTGTGGGACCAGGGACCTGGGGTCCAGACCCCAGCCGGACCCCAACAGGAGCTCTTAGGGACCTGGGGTCCAGACCCCAGCTGGACCCCAACAGGGCAACAGTGGCTCTTAGGGACGTGGGGTCCAGACCCCAGCCTGACCCCAACAGTGGCTCTTAGGGACGTGGGGTCCAGACCCCAGCCGGACCCCAACAGGAGCTCTTAGGGACCTGGGGTCCAGACCCCAGCTGGACCCCAACAGGGCAACAGTGGCTCTTAGGGACGTGGGGTCCAGACCCCAGCCGGACCCCAACAGTGGCTCTTAGGGACGTGGGGTCCAGACCCCAGCCGGACCCCAACAGTGGCTCTTAGGAACGTGGGGTCCAAACCCCAGCCGGACCCCAACAGTGGCTCTTAGGAACGTGGGGTCCAGACCCCAGCCGGACCCCAACAGTGGCTCTTAGGGACGTGGGGTCCAGACCCCAGCCGGACCCCAACAGTGGCTCTTAGGAACGTGGGGTCCAGACCCCAGCCGGACCCCAACAGTGGCTCTTAGGAACGTCGGGTCCAAACCCCAGCCGGACCCCAACAGTGGCTCTTAGGAACATGGGGTCCAGACCCCAGCCGGACCCCAACAGTGACTCTTAGGAACGTGGGGTCCAGACCCCAGCCGGACCCCAACAGTGGCTCTTAGGAACGTCGGGTCCAAACCCCAGCCGGACCCCAACAGTGGCTCTTAGGAACGTCGGGTCCAGACCCCAGCCGGACCCCAACAGTGGCTCTTAGGAACGTGGGGTCCAGACCCCAGCCGGATGGACATGTCAGTCAACAGCTGGCAACACTGCCAGTCTGCCGGCTGGCTTCTGGCGCCAGAGTCTGCCAGATGGCCAGTATCTTTGTTATCTGTGATGTATTTGTTATCTGTGATGTCTTTGTTATCTGTGATGTCTTTGTTATCTGTGATGTGTTTGTTATATGTGATGTATTTGTTATCTGTGATGTATTTGTTATCTGTGATGTATTTGTTATCTGTGATGTATTTGTTATCTGTGATGTGTTTGTTATATGTGATGTATTTGTTATCTGTGAGTATCTGTGATGTTATCTGTGATGTATTTGTGATGTATTTGTTATCTGTGTTGTTGTTATTTGTGACGTATTTGTTATCTGTGACGTATTTGTTATCTGTGATGTATTTGTTATCTGTGATGTATTTGTTATCTGTGATGTCTTTGTTATCTGTGACGTATTTGTTATCTGTGATGTATTTGTTATCTGTGATGTATTTGTTATCTGTGATGTATTTGTTATCTGTGATGTATTTGTTATCTGTGTTGTTGTTATCTGTGATGTATTTGTTATCTGTGTTGTTGTTATCTGTGATGTGTTTGTTATCTGTGTCTTTGTTATCTGTGATGTTTTGTTATCTGTGATGTATTTGTTATCTGTGTTGTATTTGTTATCTGTGACGTCTTTTTTATCTGTGATGTATTTGTTATCTGTGATGTATTTGTTATCTGTGATGTACTTGTTATCTGTGATGTATTTGTTATCTGTGATGTATTTGTTATCTGCGATGTATTTGTTATCTGTGACGTCTTTCTTATCTGTGATGTATTTGTTATCTGTGATGTATTTGTTATCTGTGATGTATTTGTTATCTGTGTTGTATTTGTTATCTGTGTCTTTGTTATCTGTGATGTATTTGTTATCTGTAATGTATTTGTTATCTGTGATGTATTTGTTATCTGTAATGTATTTTGTATTTGTTATCTGTGATGTATTTGTTATCTGTAATGTATTTGTTATCTGTAATGTATTTGTTATCTGTAATGTATTTGTTATCTGTAATGTATTTGTTATCTGTAATGTATTTGTTATCTGTGATGTATTTGTTATCTGTGATGTTTTTGTTATCTGTGATGTTATCTGTGATGTATTTGTTATCTGTGATGTATTTGTTATCTGTGTTGTTGTTATCTGTGTTGTTGTTATTTGTGACGTATTTGTTATCTGTGACGTATTTGTTATCTGTGATGTATTTGTTATCTGTGATGTATTTGTTATCTGTGATGTCTTTGTTATCTGTGACGTATTTGTTATCTGTGATGTATTTGTTATCTGTGATGTATTTGTTATCTGTGATGTATTTGTTATCTGTGTTGTTGTTATCTGTGATGTATTTGTTATCTGTGTTGTTGTTATCTGTGATGTGTTTGTTATCTGTGTCTTTGTTATCTGTGATGTTTTGTTATCTGTGATGTATTTGTTATCTGTGTTGTATTTGTTATCTGTGACGTCTTTTTTATCTGTGATGTATTTGTTATCTGTGATGTATTTGTTATCTGTGATGTACTTGTTATCTGTGATGTATTTGTTATCTGTGATGTATTTGTTATCTGCGATGTATTTGTTATCTGTGACGTCTTTCTTATCTGTGATGTATTTGTTATCTGTGATGTATTTGTTATCTGTGATGTATTTGTTATCTGTGTTGTATTTGTTATCTGTGTCTTTGTTATCTGTGATGTATTTGTTATCTGTAATGTATTTGTTATCTGTGATGTATTTGTTATCTGTAATGTATTTGTTATCTGTAATGTATTTGTTATCTGTAATGTATTTGTTATCTGTAATGTATTTGATATATGTGATGTATTTGTTATATATGTGATGTTTGCAGGTATTGTATAATGTATTATATACATAAGAGTTTGATGACATAGAAGAACTATGTAAATTATAATTTTATCTGTATCGAAATGTGAAAGTTGACATGTATTATATTGTTAATAAATAAGAATTATCGGATGTGTTTGTTAGTATCCTTTCATGACAACAGGCATCAGAAAACTCTTGGTAACTCTTGATCCGTAAAGGATTCGAACCTGGTAAGTCAAGGCCTGCATGCCCCTTGGCGTGTACTATAACCACTAGACCACACTGACTGTACAAAAGTAGTGGAAGTCGTCTGACCCTTAACCCAGTGCCAAACAGCTTCCGTTGATCATTCACAGATAACTCATCAAATCACCTCATCATGCTGGGGCTACATGATGAGGTGATGGCGCATGTTGGTTAGGTAATGACATGTAGGGGATATATGTAGGTATCTAAGAAGGCAGAACTAGGTACAAGATCGAAGGGTTTAGGGCAGTGCAAGGACGATTGGGCACTCTGGGAGATTCCTCAATGACTACCTTTCCGCGTGCCTTCATTTTGAACAACTTTTTAGACTCGAAACTTAGACTTGAAACTCCATTCTCTCTGTGTTGTGTTGAAGACAAGATGCTTAGCGTTTGCATCTTTAGACTTTGCAGGATTGCTGGTGAATGTATGGGGAGTGTCATAGGTGTGTCTAGGGTCGGGCCTCATGCCCCCCCACTTGGAAAAGTCGGCCCTCATGCCGCCCCCCCTCACGAAGTCAGAGAATATAAAATGTGCCGCTCAAAGTCCCTAGAGTTTAGCATCACCCAAACTAGACTGCAAGTTCTGCTTGATACACTCGCTGCTAAAAGCCTTAATGTGGTCTTGTTATCTCTAGAACTTAGTGGAGACTTTGTGGTAAGTCTCTAAGTAAGTCTTAGAACTTAGGCTTTGAGACTTAGTAAGTCTCAAACACTTAGTGGTAAGAATATTGGTATCAATATTAAATATGTTAGATTAGGCTACATGATATTTCTTAGATATCTAGTTGATAACTATCTAACTACCATTGATTTCTTAGATATCTAGTTGATAACTAACTGCCCTGCAACTACCACCTATTTTGTTCCATTTGTTCCATTTGGAACATTTGGAACCTGTTTGTTTCCGGAAGAGTAGCGCCCGGGATGAACAATGCAACCTGTCCTCTCCCCCTAATAGGTCGCATTTGTAACGTAGTCGACCATTCCGTTTGCGACGTATATGCGAAGTATTAGTAAATATTGAAGCGACGCAATACTTACCGTTTTCTATGCCTCGGCCTCGATAGGTTAGGTGGGTTGGTTGGGTTAGTAAGTTCCTGGTGAATGAGGCAGGTGAAAATACCTTTAATTAACAACATAAAAGCAACAAAAAAACGGTTAAAAAAGAAAAAACTCAAATTTAAAACAAACAAACAAAAAATATGTACATTTCTGGCTTTACAAGCTAAAAATAATTCGCAATTCTGAAGGATTTTCAAGTGAGCCAAAAATCTTACTCAAAAAATACATTCAATTTTCAAATTGATGCAAAAACGGTTTGTTGAATTAATTGTATTTCAATACAGGATGGCGGCTGACGTCTGTATGAATACAGCATACAACAGCTGGAGTGGGCGGTACAGCTTGTTAGTGTATGGTTGTTAGACCCACACTAGTAGTTGTGAAGGGTTGTTAAGACCCACACTAGTGGGTTGTTAAGACCCACACTAGTAGATGTGAAGGTTGTTAAGACCCACACTAGTAGTTGTGAAGGGTTGTTAGCCCCACACTAGTAGTTGTGAAGGTTGTTAGACCCACACTAGTAGATGTGAAGGTTGTTAGCCCCACACTAGTAGTTGTGAAGGGTTGTTAAGACCCACACTAGTAGTTGTGAAGGTTGTTAAGACCCACACTAGTAGTTGTGAAGGGTTGTTAAGACCCACACTAGTAGTTGTGAAGGGTTGTTAAGACCCACACTAGTAGTTGTGAAGGGTTGTTAAGACCCACACTAGTAGTTGTGAAGGTTGTTAAGACCCACACTAGTAGTTGTGAAGGTTGTTAAGACCCACACTAGTAGTTGTGAAGGTTGTTAGACCCACACTAGTAGTTGTGAAGGGTTGTTAAGACCCACACTAGTAGTTGTGAAGGGTTGTTAAGACCCACACTAGTAGTTGTGAAGGGTTGTTAAGACCCACACTAGTAGTTGTGAAGGGTTGTTAAGACCCACACTAGTAGTTGTGAAGGGTTGTTAAGACCCACACTAGTAGTTGTGAAGGGTTGTTAAGACCCACACTAGTAGTTGTGAAGGTTGTTAAGACCCACACTAGTAGTTGTGAAGGTTGTTAAGACCCACACTAGTAGTTGTGAAGGTTGTTAAGACCCACACTAGTAGTTGTGAAGGGTTGTTAAGACCCACACTAGTAGTTGTGAAGGTTGTTAGACCCACACTAGTAGTTGTGAAGGTTGTTAGACCCACACTAGTAGATGTGAAGGGTTGTTAAGACCCACACTAGTAGTTGTGAAGGTTGTTAAGACCCGCACTAGTAGTTGTGAAGGGTTGTTAAGACCCACACTAGTAGTTGTGAAGGGTTGTTAAGACCCACACTAGTAGTTGTGAAGGTTGTTAAGACCCACACTAGTAGTTGTGAAGGGTTGTTAAGACCCACACTAGTAGTTGTGAAGGGTTGTTAAGACCCACACTAGTAGTTGTGAAGGTTGTTAAGACCCACACTAGTAGTTGTGAAGGTTGTTAAGACCCACACTAGTAGTTGTGAAGGTTGTTAGACCCACACTAGTAGTTGTGAAGGGTTGTTAAGACCCACACTAGTAGTTGTGAAGGGTTGTTAAGACCCACACTAGTAGTTGTGAAGGGTTGTTAAGACCCACACTAGTAGTTGTGAAGGGTTGTTAAGACCCACACTAGTAGTTGTGAAGGGTTGTTAAGACCCACACTAGTAGTTGTGAAGGGTTGTTAAGACCCACACTAGTAGTTGTGAAGGGTTGTTAAGACATACACTAGTAGTTGTGAAGGGTTGTTAAGACCCACACTAGTAGTTGTGAAGGGTTGTTAAGACCCACACTAGTAGTTGTGAAGGGTTGTTAAGACCCACACTAGTAGATGTGAAGGTTGTTAAGACCCACACTAGTAGTTGTGAAGGGTTGTTAAGACCCACACTAGTAGTTGTGAAGGTTGTTAAGACCCACACTAGTAGATGTGAAGGTTGTTAAGACCCACACTAGTAGTTGTGAAGGTTGTTAAGACCCACACTAGTAGTTGTGAAGGGTTGTTAGACCCACACTAGTAGTTGTGAAGGGTTGTTAAGACCCACACTAGTAGATGTGAAGGTTGTTAAGACCCACACTAGTAGTTGTGAAGGGTGGAACTAACAATCCTAGTGGAATGCATTAGGCAGTAATGTGGTGGAGGCTGACTCCATACACAGTTTCAAGTGTAGATATGATAGAGCCCAATAGGCTCAGGAACCTGTACACCTGTTGATTGACGGTTGAGAGGCGGGACCAAAGAGCCAGAGCTCAACTCTCACGTGAAGGCAGTCTTGACCTTTGCTTACACCATGACAGGGGCCCAGGAGCTAGTCAGCTTGTTATCGGGTTGCATAGTTGGGTCGGGTCGGAAATTCGACCCTTGGGGGGGGGGGAGGTAACCTAGATATAAGCCTAACGTGTATACATACACACTGGCTGCCTGTCCCCCGACACAATGGATTATTAGTATATACACTGGCTTGTATATAGCTAACAGGAGTCAGCAGTCGTCTGCTCCTGTACCCTCCTGTGTGTAAAACTAGTAGGGTAAGGCTTACCATGAGCTATGGGAAGGGAAAGCTCTCAGCCAGCTAACAGGAGTCAGCAGTCGTCTGCTCCTGTACCCTCCTGTGTGTAAAACTAGTAGGGTAAGGCTTACCATGAGCTATGGGAAGGGAAAGCTCTCAGCCAGCTAACAGGAGTCAGCAGTCGTCTGCTCCTGTACCCACCTGTGTGTAAAACTAGTAGGGTAAGGCTTACCATGAGCTATGGAAAGGGAAAGCTCTCAGCCTGCTAACAGGAGTCAGCAGTCGTCTGCTCCTGTACCCTCCTGTGTGTAAAACTAGTAGGGTAAGGCTTACCATGAGCTATGGGAAGGGAAAGCTCTCAGCCAGCTAACAGGAGTCAGCAGTCGTCTGCTCCTGTACCCTCCTGTGTGTAAAACTAGTAGGGTAAGGCTTACCATGAGCTATGGGAAGGGAAAGCTCTCAGCCAGCTAACAGGAGTCAGCAGTCGTCTGCTCCTGTACCCTCCTGTGTGTAAAACTAGTAGGGTAAGGCTTACCATGAGCTATGGGAAGGGAAAGCTCTCAGCCAGCTAACAGGAGTCAGCAGTCGTCTGCTCCTGTACCCACCTGTGTGTAAAACTAGTAGGGTAAGGCTTACCATGAGCTATGGGAAGGGAAAGCTCTCAGCCAGCTAACAGGAGTCAGCAGTCGTCTGCTCCTGTACCCTCCTGTGTGTAAAACTAGTAGGGTAAGGCTTACCATGAGCTATGGGAAGGGAAAGCTCTCAGCCAGCTAACAGGAGTCAGCAGTCGTCTGCTCCTGTACCCTCCTGTGTGTAAAACTAGTAGGGTAAGGCTTACCATGAGCTATGGGAAGGGAAAGCTCTCAGCCTGCTAACAGGAGTCAGCAGTCGTCTGCTCCTGTACCCACCTGTGTGTAAAACTAGTAGGGTAAGGCTTACCATGAGCTATGGGAAGGGAAAGCTCTCAGCCTGCTAACAGGAGTCAGCAGTCGTCTGCTCCTGTACCCACCTGTGTGTAAAAATTAGAAAGATATTCACGAATCATTTTATAATTAATTTTTCTGCTGATAGCCACTGATGATTCCTCCTCCACCTGCTGCTCCTGCTGTCCGCAATTTGCATATCATCAGCATACTGAATATGCAAATGATGTCCGAGCAAGACTTGCCCTTGAAGGATGAGAGAAGGTAAGGATGGTAAACTTGGACACTCCCGTCCCAGGGTCCAGGGCCGATGTACCCTGGTGACCAGTTTTAATTTTCTTGTTGACAATTTAAGGTAAAATCAGGAGAAATTACTAAGGCAGCATGACTATGTCGCCTTGGAAGGAATATCAGACAGACTAAAAGCTGGGATATGAGGACAAGGAGCTGGGATATGGGGACAAGGAGCTGGGATATGAGGACAAGGAGCTGGGATATGAGGACAAGGAGCTGGGATATGGGGACAAGAAGCTGGGATATGAGGACAAAGAGCTTGGGTATGAGGATTGAGGAGCTGGGATATGAGGACAAGGAGCTGGGGTATGAGGACAAGGAGCTGGGATATGAGGACAAGGAGCTGGGATATGAGGACAAGGAGCTGGGATATGAAGACAAGGAGCTGGGATATGAGGACAAGGAGCTGGGATATGAGGACAAGGAGCTGGGATATGTCAGTAGGACAGTTGACAGAGCAACTCTCTCTCATGCATCTATTTATATATTAGCATATACTGAATTACCTAACACATAGCAACACATGTAAGATTATCTTGAGATGATTTCGGGGCTTAGTTTCCCTGCGGCCCGGTCCTCGACCAGGCTTCCACCCCCCAGGAAGCAGCCCGTGACAGCTGACTAACTCCCAGGTACCTATTTTACTGCTAGGTAACAGGAGTATCAGGGTGATAGAAACACATTGTTTCTCGCCGGCGCCCGGGATCGAACCCGGGACCAGGGATATACCAGAACATACCTAGACCACCATTGGCTATAACTTTAGAGTAGTTATCCACTCTGCTCAACCCGTCCTCTCAACCATCGCGTTTTCTTACGTAGTCAACCACTCCGTTCAAAATGCGACGTATTGGTAAACATTAAAGCAACGCGAAATTGACGACTTCTACGAAATTGGGTGGTCTTTTCGGGGGGTCTTCGTTCGAAGGTTTCTGCCTTGGCGAAACAGTTCAATTTCTTACGGAGTGGTAATTACCTTGTAACTGAACTTCTTCACGTGAAGACTAAAGCTTCAGGGGAGAAATTTACTCATCAAAGTAGATATTCACTCATGGTAGAAAATTTTTCATCATGGTAGAAAATTACTCAGCAAGGGAGCCGGTCGGCCGAGCGGACAACACACTGGATTTGTGATCGTGTGGTCCCGGGTTCGATCCCGGGCGCCGGCGAGAAACAATGGGCAGAGTTTCTTTCACCCTATTCCCCTGTTACCTAGCAGTAAAATAGGTACCTGGGTGTTAGTCAGCTGTCACGGGCTGCTTCCTGGGGGTGGAGGCCTGGTCGAGGACCGGGCCGCGGGAACACTGAAGCCCAGAAATCATCTCCAGATAACCTCGAGATGCTATACCGATGATGATACTCTTCAAGACGCTAGTGCTCTATAGAGTGGAGTACTGCTGCACAATGACAGCCCCTTTCAAAGCTGGAGAAATTGCTGACCTGGAGAGCGTGCAGAGATCCTTTACTGCTAGAATCCACTCAGTAAAACATCTAAACTATTGGGACCGACTAAAGAGCCTAAATCTGTATTCTCTTGAGCGCAGGCGGGAGAGATACATAATAATTTACACGTGGAAAATAGTAGAGGGGCTGGTCCCAAACCTGCACACAGAAATAACAGCACATGAGACCAGGAGGCATGGCAGGATGTGCAGAATACCCCCGTTGAAGAGCAGAGGTGCAACAGGTACTCTGAGAGAACTATCAACATCAGAGGCCCGAGACTGTTCAACACGCTTCCACTACACATAAGGGACATAACTGGCCGACCCCTCACAGTGTTCAAGAGAGAACTATCAACATCAGAGGCCCGAGACTGTTCAACACGCTTCCACTACACATAAGGGACATAACTGGCCGACCCCTCACAGTGTTCAAGAGAGAACTATCAACATCAGAGGCCCGAGACTGTTCAACACGCTTCCACTACACATAAGGGACATAACTGGCCGACCCCTCACAGTGTTCAAGAGAGAACTATCAACATCAGAGGCCCGAGACTGTTCAACACGCTTCCACTACACATAAGGGACATAACTGGCCGACCCCTCACAGTGTTCAAGAGAGAACTATCAACATCAGAGGCCCGAGACTGTTCAACACGCTTCCACTACACATAAGGGACATAACTGGCCGACCCCTCACAGTGTTCAAGAGAGAACTATCAACATCAGAGGCCCGAGACTGTTCAACACGCTTCCACTACACATAAGGGACATAACTGGCCGACCCCTCACAGTGTTCAAGAGAGAACTTAACAAACACCTCCAAAGGATACCTGATCAACCAGGCTGTGATTCAGACGTCAGGCTGCGAGCAGCCGCGTCCAACAGCCTGGTTGACCAGTCCAGCAACAAGGCCTGGTCGACGACCGGGCCGCGGGGACGCTAAGCCCTGAAACCATCTCAAGGTAACCTCCCATATCCCCGCCTCCCACTTTCCTTTATAAAGGCCAAGGTTACAGATGTGGCCGCTCTCTCCTTATGGCGCTGATGTAACCTTACGGTCTCTGACAGTGTGGTGACGAGCTGTGGTGACGAGCTGTGGTGACCAGCTGTGGTGACCAGCTGGGGGGACCAGCTGTGGTGACGAGCTGTGGTGACCAGCTGGGGGACCATATACTGGTCACCATATACCATACACATGGACCATATATCATGCACAGAAACACATGAACATCAAAGCCTAGACTTGATGATGTCGGCCCTGGTTCCATGGAGGTATTTAGGCCAGGGAGCCGGTCGGCCGAGCGGACAGCACGCTGGACCTGTGATCCTGTGGTCCTGGGTTCGATCCCAGGCACCGGCGAGAACCAATGGGCAGAGTTTCTTTCACCCTATGCCCCTGTTACCTAGGAGTAAAATAGGTACCTGGGTGTTAGTCAGCTGTCACGGGCTGCTTCCTGGGGGTGGAGGCCTGGTCGAGGACCGGGCCGCGGTGACACTAAAGCCCCGAAATCATCTCAAGATAACCTCAAGATAGGTGGCCAGATGGCCCAGGTGAGCCAGGTGGCCCAAGTGGCCCAAGTGGCCAGGTGGCCAGGTGGCCCAGGTGGGCCAGGTGGCCAGGTGGCCAGGTGGCCCAGGTGGGCCAGGTGGCCAGGTGGCCAGGTGGCCCAGGTGGGCCAGGTGGCCCAAGTGGCCAGGTGGCCCAAGTGGCCAGGTGGGCCAGGTGGCCAGGTGGGCCAGGGTGGCCAGGTGGCCAGGTGGGCCAGGCGGGTCGAGTGGGGTAAACGGGCATCAGGTGACCTTTTTGTTGAGAAAGAGTTGGCCGGTGAGACACCTGGAGCCAGCACCGCCTCTCAGTGCTTTCTCATCGCTGGTGAATACCGTCGCCTCCTCCTCCTGCTGCCGTCTGCTGCTGCCGTCTGCCTGCCTGTCTGCTGCTCCCTGCCCTCATTTGACCGCTGGTGGGCAGCCCCTCGCCTCCAACTGGAGTCGGGTTGGTTGACGACAAGATTTGGGTGATTTCTGTCAGCGGCGGGCGGTGCTGTCAGTGTAGAACCGCGTGCTGGTGCGTGCTGACGCCCTCTGCTGACTTCCCGCCACGCTGACGACGGTGCTGTCAGTCTAGAGCCGGGTGCTGCTGGCCGCTCACGTCCCCCACACACTTACAAACCCCAAAAAAAACGTATGTGGAAAACCGTTAAAAAATTCCACCACTAAAATTGACCGTGAAAATCTATTTAGAAAATCCCTCAGCAAGTGATTAATATATTAAAACAAAAGAGAGTAGTGGGAACCTGTTTTTATATTTTTTTTGTGTGTGTTTAAACGTTTGATGAAGGGTTTTTTCGTGTGGAAATTTCCTTTCTCGAGTAGCCCTTCCCCGGGGCGGGTGTGTGGAGAAACTATGATGAAAGTGAACAGTATTGTTACTCTAAGCTGGTGTAACATGTGTGTAACACGTGTTGGTGAGCAGCACGTGTTTTAAGAGACCAAAATAAACAATAAAACGGGTGTTTGTTGTGGTGGTGCGGCGTTGCCACCTCCTCCTCACCCCGCGTGGGACGCACCGAGACTTGTCACCACTGTGCATTTACCGCATTCAGACTAACAAAAACATGTATATTACAGTGTGTGTATATGTATACATCAGACAATTATATTTAATTGTGTTTATAGTTAGTTTCTTTGCGTCCGGACATGACAGGTGAAGGCTGGCTACATCTCGCAATACTGTTTAGTAAGTCGGGTCTAAAATGTGACGAAAGTAAGAACTCTTCTACGTCATCGCTGCCGTGTAAACAAAGTCAGCGCAACGCAACCCAACCCGCCCTAACTTAACCTAACTTAACCTAACCCAACCTAACCCATCGCAAACCCAGTCCAACAAAAATAAGACAAACAATTTTGTGTTTTATAAATATATATAGTTATGGTGTGGCGAGGGGTGTGACGTCATGGTGTTGATAGCGGTGCAGGTTTTGGACCGTGGTGGCGGGCGTGTGCCAGGGAGTTATAGTGAGTGAGTGAGTGGGTGGATGAGTGAGTGAGTGAGTGAGTGAGTGAGTGAGTGAGTGAGTGGGTGAGTGAGTGAGTGAGTGGGTGGATGAGTGAGTGAGTGAGTGAGTGAGTGAGTGAGTGAGTGAGTGAGTGGGTGGGTGGGTGAGTGAGTGAGTGAGTGAGTGAGTGAGTGAGTGAGTGAGTGAGTGAGTGAGTGAGGGTTGTGTTCAACAATGGGATCTGACTCAACATGGCGGCCGTGTTCCCAAGTGAGCAGTTCCTGGAAATGTTTCACCAACCTCATTGTTGATGATTGCAGCAAGATTGTATGTGTGAGTGTCTGTCACACTCACTACTCGGCCCACACTCACCACACACTCCCAGCCTCACCACTCACTCCCAGCCTCACACACACCCACAGCCTCACCACTCACTCCCAGCCTCACACACACCCACAGCCTCACCACTCACCCACAGCCTCACACACACCCACAGCCTCACCACTCACCCACAGCCTCACCACTCACTCCCAGCCTCACACACACCCACAGCCTCACCACTCACCCACAGCCTCACACACACCCACAGCCTCACCACTCACCCACAGCCTCACACACACCCACAGCCTCACCACTCACCCACAGCCTCACACACACCCACAGCCTCACCACTCACCCCCAGCCTCACCTCACACCCACAGCCTCACACACACACACACACACAGCCTCACACACACACACAGCCTCACACACAGTGAGACGAGGATTGTAGGATCCTCCAAGAGGACTTAAACAGGTTGCAGAGATGGTCAGGGAAATGGCTACTGGAGTTTAACACCAGTAAATGTAAAGTTATGGAAATGGGATCAGGTGACAGGAGACCAAAGGGACAGTACACAATGAAGGGGAACAGCCTACCTGTAACGATTCGAGAAAGAGACCTGGGAGTGGATGTGACACCTAATCTAACTCCTGAGGCACATATAAATAGGATAACGACAGCAGCGTACTCTACACTGGCGAAAATTAGAACTTCATTCAGAAACCTAAATGAGGAGGCATTTAGGGCGCTTTACACTGCCTACGTGAGACCAGTCTTAGAGTATGCCGCGCCATCATGGAGCCCCCACCTGAAGAAACACATAAAGAAACTGGAGAAGGTTCAGAGGTTTGCGACGAGGCTTGTCCCAGAGTTACGAGGGATGGGATATGAAGAGCGTCTGAAGGAACTGAACCTTACGACACTAGAGAAAAGAAGGGAGAGAGGAGATATGATAGGGACATATGAAATACTCAGGGGAATTGACAAAGTGGAAATAGATGAAATGTTCACACGTAATAATAACAGAACGAGGGGACATGGGTGGAAACTGGAAACTCAGATGAGTCACAGAGATGTTAGGAAGTTTTCTTTTAGCGTGAGAGTAGTGGAAAAATGGAATGCACTTGGGGAACAGGTTGTGGAAGCAAATACTATTCATACTTTTAAAACTAGGTATGATAGGGAAATGGGACAGGAGTCATTGCTGTAAACAACTGATAGCTGGAAAGGCGGGATCCAAGAGTCAATGCTCGATCCTGCAAGCACAAATAGGTGAGTACAAATAGGTGAGTACACACCCACAGTCTCACACACACACACAGCCTCACCACTCACCCACAGCCTCACACACACACCCACAGCCTCACACACACACCCACAGCCTCACACACACACACAGCCTCACCACTCACCCACAGCCTCACACACACACCCACAGCCTCACACACACACACAGCCTCACCACTCACCCACAGCCTCACACACACACCCACAGCCTCACACACACACACAGCCTCACCACTCACCCACAGCCTCACACACACACACCCACAGCCTCACACACACCCACAGCCTCACCACACACAGCCCCAGCCTCACCCACACACACAGCCTCACCACACACCCACAGCCTCACCACACACCCACAGCCTCACCACACACCCACAGCCTCACACACACACCCACAGCCTCACACACACACCCACAGCCTCACCACTCACCCACAGCCTCACCACACACCCACAGCCTCACCACACACACGCACAGCCTCACACACACACCCACAGCCTCACCACTCACCCACAGCCTCACACACACACCCACAGCCTCACCACACACACCCACAGCCTCACACACACACACCCACAGCCTCACCACACACACACCCACAGCCTCACCACACACCCACAGCCTCACCACACACACTCACAGCCTCACACACACACCCACAGCCTCACCACTCACCCACAGCCTCACACACACACCCATAGCCTCACCACACACACCCACAGCCTCACACACACACACAGCCTCACACACACCCACAGCCTCACCACACACACCCACAGCCTCACACACACACCCACAGCCTCACACACACACCCACAGCCTCACACACACACCCACAGCCTCACCACACACACCCACAGCCTCACACACACACCCACAGCCTCACCACACACCCACAGCCTCACACACACACCCACAGCCCCACACACACCCACAGCCTCACCACACACCCACAGCCTCACCACACACACCCACAGCCTCACACACACACCCACAGCCTCACACACACACCCACAGCCTCACATACACACCCACAGCCTCACCAGACACACCCACAGCCTCACACACACCCACAGCCTCACTACTCACCCACAGTCTCACCACACACCCACAGCCTCACCACACACCCACAGCCTCACCACACACCCACAGCCTCACCACTCACCCACAGTCTCACCACACACCCACAGCCTCACACACACCCACAGCCTCACCACTCACCCACAGTCTCACCACACACCCACAGCCTCACCACTCACCCACAGTCTCACCACACACCCACAGCCTCACCACACACCCACAGCCTCACCACACACCCACAGCCTCACCACTCACCCACAGCCTTACCACACACCCACAGCCTCACACACACACCCACAGCTTCACACACACCCACAGCCTCACCACACACCCGCAGCCTCACCACTCACCCACAGTCTCACCACACACTCACAGCCTCACACACACACCCACAGCCTCACACACACACCTTCAGCCTCACACACACACACACACAGCCTCACACACACACCCACAGCCTCACCACTCACCCACAGCCTCACACACACACACACACAGCCTCACACACACAGCCTCACCACTCACCCACAGCCTCACACACACACCCACAGCCTCACACTCACCCACAGCCTCACACACACACCCACAGCCTCACACACTCACCCACAGCCTCACACACACACCCACAGCCTCACACACACACCCACAGCCTCACACACACACGCACAGCCTCACACACACACCCACAGCCTCACCACACCCACAGTCTCACCACACACCCACAGCCTCACCACCCACAGCCTCACACACACACACGACCTCACACACTCACCCACAGCCTCACACACACACACAGCCTCACCACTCACCCACAGCCTCACACACACACCCACAGCCTCACCACACACCCACAGCCTCACACACACACACACAGCCTCACCACACACCCACAGCCTCACCACAGACCCACAGCCTCACACACACACACGGCCTCACACACTCACCCACAGCCTCACACACACCCACAGCCTCACCACACACCCACAGCCTCACCACACACCCACAGCCTCACCACTCACCCACAGCCTCACACACACACACAGCCTCACACACACCCACAGCCTCACCACTCACCACACACACACACACAGCCTCACCACACACCCACAGCCTCACCACATACCCACAGCCTCACCACACACCCACAGCCTCACCACTCACCCACAGCCTCACACACACACACAGCCTCACACACACCCACAGCCTCACCACTCACCACACACACACACACAGCCTCACCACACACCCACAGCCTCACCACATACCCACAGCCTCACCACACACCCACAGCCTCACCACACACCCACAGCCTCACACACTCACCCACAGCCTCACCACTCACCACCGACATTGGTAACATGTCAAAATTACTGTAATTTCACGGATTGAGGACAAGATTGCCTGTTTCACCTTGTAAAGAGGACGTTGGTACTCCTGAGTCACTGTTGTGTCAGCTGATTACTGTTATTGTTGTGTCAGCTGATTATTGTTATTGTTGTGTCAGCTGATTATTGTTATTGTTGTGTCAGCTGATTATTGTTATTGTTGTGTCAGCTGATTATTGTTATTGTTGTGTCAGCTGATTATTGTTATTGTTGTGTCAGCTGATTATTGTTATTGTTGTGTCAGCTGATTATTGTTATTGTTGTGTCAGCTGATTATTGTTATTGTTGTGTCAGCTGATTATTGTTATTGTTGTGTCAGCTGATCATTGTTATTGTTGTGTCAGCTGATTATTGTTATTGTTGTGTCAGCTGATCATTGTTATTGTTGTGTCAGCTGATTATTGTTATTGTTGTGTCAGCTGATCATTGTTGTTGTTGTGTCTGGTTCTTGACACACTTGTGTAAGTCAAATGTCATGTCCCGATGACTCATCAAACTGTCCTGTCACCTAATGCCTTGCATTTGGTTAAGCAAAACCGTTGCCTTTGTTACGTTTCTGGCAGGCAAAAATAGTCCCATTTTTTACGGACTAACAAATCAAGATAACAGACTGTGCTATCCTGTTATCAAAATTTCAAGTAAGGTGAATGCTGCTGAAGAATGCCTCTGAAGCCTCCAACATCGATTTAAAACACAGATTCGAACATGTAGCGAAGATCCGAACAGCAAATCGTTCACCAACATTGAGTAAATGTGTTCCCTTTGATCCTTTGGATTTTTATTGATGTTCGCATTGTTTTGATGCAAGATGAGGCTCGTTTGGCCCCTTTGATTGATGGGAGCATCAATGACATCATTCTAGCCCCTTGTTTAGTGACCTGCCGTTAACAATGCACTCATAACTCTAGGTGATTGGTCTAGCTTCTAGACCAATCAACGGTCTAGATCTAGACCGTTGGTCGATTTCTGGAGACCTTTGGTTGATTCCAGCAGACCTTTGGTCAATTCCAGCAGACCTTTGGTTGATTCCAGCAGACCTTTGGTCGATTCCAGCAGACCTTTGGTCGATTCCAGCAGACCTTTGGTCGATTCCAGCAGACCTTTGGTCAATTCTAATTCTAAAGACCATAGTTGGTATAATCCCCACTGACAAAAGCTGTGACATTAATGGATATCTATTAGCGGATATCTATTAACGGATATCTTGATGGGAGCAGATAGCAGGTGAAGCAAGTGTGTTCGGCTCTCACCCTCTGTGTCCACCAGGCAACTTGAAGCAGTTGGTGTGTGTGTAGAGAGCGTGAGGGTGTGTGAGTTATACGCCAGCATGACCACAACAGTCTTCTTGCCCCATGCTGTGGGACGAACTATCCCCCCTGGATGGACCAGGGGGCTAGATTCACGAAGCAGTTACGCAAGTACTTACGAACGTGTACATCTTTTCCTCAATCTATGACGGCTTTGGTTACATTTATTAAACAGTTTACAAGCATGAAAACTTGCTAATCAACTGTTGTTATTGTTATAAACAGCCTCCTGGTGCTTCGGAGCTCATTAACTGTTTAATAATTGTAAACAAAGCAGCCAAAGATTGAGGAGAGATGTACAGGTTCGTAAGTGCTGGCGTAACTGCTTCGTGAATCTGGCCCCAGGTTCGTAAGTGCTTGCGTAACTGCTTCGTGAATCTGGCCCCAGGTTCGTAAGTGCTTGCGTAACTGCTTCGTCAATCTGGCCCCAGGGTCGTAAGTGCTTGCGTAACTGCTTCGTGAATCTGGCCCCAGGGTCGTAAGTGCTTGCGTAACTGCTTCGTGAATCTGGCCCCAGTCTTCCTTGCCAGCCGTGCAAGAGGTATGCTAATATACCAGTTTGTGTACGACGTCGGCTGTAGGAAGCCACCCATGATAGTCCTGCCCCGTATATAAAGCAGCTCCCTGTAACCTCAAACACACTATATTAATAACACACTACTAACAAAACAGGATACTAACAAAGCAGGACTAACAAAATATAAGTCCGGTCCAGATATTGTAACACAATGCAATATTTTTTTTTTTTACATAAAGGATTAATTTTTTATGGTTGAAATTACATTTTTTCAGAAATATGAAGATGTCCTGATCTAAGGTTTCTCTCATAAGTGGATAAAAGTAAACTTCAGTGTTAAGTGGCCTGGTAGTGTCAAGTAACCGATGTTAACACTTGATCTGGCATCTTAAGTGGCATTAAGTGACATAAATCAAAGATCGTTGTCTGTCGATGTACTGTTCAGAAAGATGGACTCATACGTGTAAGGGACTTTGCGTTAGTGATTGGAGTGTCTTGGATGGACTCACACGTGTGAGGGTCTTTGGTTTCTGAGTGATAGTAGTTTGAGTGTGTTGTTAGTCAAGATGGGTCGGCCGTCCCGCACTGCCCTGGTCGCCACGTCCTACACCAGCCTGGACTTTGCCAACATGACGGAGGCTATATACCGAGCCCCGAGGTCTACCTACGTCACACATTATGTGAGTACCCGCTTCTTGTTTTATCTTGTGTTATCTTGTGTGTCTTGTTACTCTGTGTCCTGTTTGTTGCCCTCTGTGTCATGTTTATTTCCCTATGTATCCAGTTTACTGGCCTCTGTGCCCTGCATGTTGCCATGTATCCTATTTGTTGCTTCCTGTATCCTCTCTTGCTTGGGGTCCTTCCTATTATTATAATAGACCATTGTTTAATTATTATTAGTGTGTAATAAAAAGTCGATGGGTTGGTTAATCCTTCACTGGTGTACGCGTGTTCAGTTTCCTCCCGGACAGGCCCCCAACTAAACAGTTGTGTTCAGACTAATATTCCCACGAGAGACTTATTTCCTGCTTCTGCTCACCAGTCTCTCCACGCACATACATGGATTCAGTGAGCCTATATTGGCAGGGCAATCAGCCCCCTTAGACGTATGCGGAACATTTTTAACTTGTCTCAGGAACTCCACTAATGTATTGGCTTAACACCTGCCACAAATATTTTAGAGCAAAATTAATGATTTAGGTCGGTGAGAATTTTGTCATCTCTTTAATGTTACTCAACAAGAAACACGAGAACAATAATGAAGTTTGGGTGTTCAATGTGCAAGGTGTGGGCGTATAAGGTAAGGTTAGTTATGAAGAGAATGTGCAACACCTGTTTGATTTCTCCAAGACTCTTTTTAGGGAAATTTTGGTGGCATTTCTCCCTTCAATTTAACTATTATCCAAGTAACATAAATAGTTTACCTTAATGACCATTCGAGTTAAAATTGTAACATTAGAATAAAGGAAAAAACGACAAGCCTATTGGCCCATACGAGGCCGCTTCTATTTATATCCACTTATAGTCATTCATATAAGAATGTCTAGCCTACGCTTGAAAAAATCATGTGAGCCCGCGTCTAGTATGCTACCCGGTAAACTGATATGTAAATCTAAAACTATATCAAAACGCAGTATTTACCCGTTATTGTCAAAATCTAAATTGATCCACTTAAGAGAAAGAGGAATGGGAGATGGGGTAGAGGGAACTATCAGGGGGAAAGCGCCAAGCCAATACAACTATATAGCACTGGGAAGGGGTCAGGATAAGGATTTGGGGATGGGACGGGGGAAAGAAATGGCGCCCAACCACTTGTGGACGGTCGGGGGATTGAACGCCGACCTGCATGAAGCGAGACCGTCGCTCTACCGTCCAGCCCAAGTGGTTGGCCAGGGGGCTGGGGGAGGGGGGGGGAAATTGAGCGACTGTTGCAAGAGATAAGGTGTTTAGACTGCAGTGTTGCTGCAGTGTTGCACTGTAATCTGTCGTCCAAGACTTGTTTCACAATCATTGCAAAGTCTTGATAATTGACGCGTCTGGACCAGTTTATGCAAGTTGTACACAAAGGGTTGAATGTGTAGATTAAGGGCGACTTGTTGGTTGAGTGTGCAACCTTGGCACATGTGCACTAGACTCATCAACCTGTTCAACAGTTGAAGTTTGAGAGCCGGCACCAAGGAGCTGAGACTCAACCAACCTTATATATATTTCCTAACGTCTCGTTATGTTAATAATTGTCTAAATGTACTTTATTCATTTACTAATTCTAGCAGCGTTAGAACGGCCACAATGCGCCGTGTTAGAGGTGGATATATCCACCCACACTCAGGTGTGGATATATCCACCCACGCTCAGGTGTGGATATATCCACCCACACTCAGGTGTGGATATTATCCACCCACGCTCAGGTGTGGATATTATCCACCCACGCTCAGGTGTGGATATATCCACCCACGCTCAGGTGTGGATATTATCCACCCACACTCAGGTGTGGATATATCCACCCACGCTCAGGTGTGGATATATCCACCCACACTCAGGTGTGGATATTATCCACCCACGCTCAGGTGTGGATATATCCACCCACACTCAGGTGTGGATATATCCACCCACGCTCAGGTGTGGATATATCCACCCACACTCAGGTGTGGATATTATCCACCCACGCTCAGGTGTGGATATTATCCACCCACGCTCAGGTGTGGATATATCCACCCACGCTCAGGTGTGGATATATCCACCCACACTCACGTGTGGATATTATCCACCCACACTCAGGTGTGGATATTATCCACCCACACTCAGGTGTGGATATATCCACCCACGCTCAGGTGTGGATATTATCCACCCACGCTCAGGTGTGGATATTATCCACCCACACTCAGGTGTGGATATATCCACCCACGCTCAGGTGTGGATATATCCACCCACACTCACGTGTGGATATTATCCACCCACACTCAGGTGTGGATATTATCCACCCACACTCAGGTGTGGATATATCCACCCACGCTCAGGTGTGGATATATCCACCCACACTCAGGTGTGGATATATCCACCCACGCTCAGGTGTGGATATTATCCACCCACACTCAGGTGTGGATATATCCACCCACGCTCAGGTGTGGATATTATCCACCCACGCTCAGGTGTGGATATTATCCACCCACACTCAGGTGTGGATATATCCACCCACGCTCAGGTGTGGATATATCCACCCACACTCACGTGTGGATATTATCCACCCACACTCAGGTGTGGATATTATCCACCCACACTCAGGTGTGGATATATCCACCCACGCTCAGGTGTGGATATTATCCACCCACACTCAGGTGTGGATATTATCCACCCACGCTCAGGTGTGGATATTATCCACCCACACTCAGGTGTGGATATATCCACCCACGCTCAGGTGTGGATATATCCACCCACGCTCAGGTGTGGATATTATCCACCCACGCTCAGGTGTGGATATTATCCACCCACACTCAGGTGTGGATATATCCACCCACGCTCAGGTGTGGATATATCCACCCACACTCAGGTGTGGATATATCCACCCACGCTCAGGTGTGGATATTATCCACCCACACTCAGGTGTGGATATATCCACCCACGCTCAGGTGTGGATATTATCCACCCACGCTCAGGTGTGGATATTATCCACCCACACTCAGGTGTGGATATATCCACCCACGCTCAGGTGTGGATATATCCACCCACACTCACGTGTGGATATTATCCACCCACACTCAGGTGTGGATATTATCCACCCACACTCAGGTGTGGATATATCCACCCACGCTCAGGTGTGGATATTATCCACCCACACTCAGGTGTGGATATTATCCACCCACGCTCAGGTGTGGATATTATCCACCCACACTCAGGTGTGGATATATCCACCCACGCTCAGGTGTGGATATATCCACCCACACTCACGTGTGGATATTATCCACCCACACTCAGGTGTGGATATTATCCACCCACACTCAGGTGTGGATATTATCCACCCACACTCAGGTGTGGATATTATCCACCCACACTCAGGTGTGGATATTATCCACCCACACTCGCATGTGGATAAATATAATCCCCCACCTTATCCCCCGTCAGTGCGTGGGATCGAACTTGCGTCTCTGGCCTCCCCAGAAACAAACTCACGCTACCCACACGACCGAAGAGGGAGCCGGTTGGCCGAGCGGACAGCACGCTGGACTTGTGATCCTGGGTTCGATCCCAGGCGCCGGCGAGAAACAATGGGCAGAGTTTCTTTCACCCTATGCCCCTGTTACCTAGCAGTAAAATAGGTACCTGGGTGTTAGTCAGCTGTCACGGGCTGCTTCCTGGGGGTGGAGGCCTGGTCGAGGACCGGGCCGCGGGGACACTAAAGCCCCGATATCATCTCAAGATAACCCAATGTCCCACAATGACCTTACAAAGCGTCCCACCCACTGCCCAAATATTTCCTCGTGGATACATCAGGCTGTTGTAGGTTTCATTATGCATCCATTCCACTATATTTCCAGTTGTTGCATTTTTTTTTTTTTTTTTTTTTTTTTTTTTTTTTTTTTTTTTTTTTTTTTTTTTTTTTTTTTTTTTTTTTATTCGGGCAAGTCCTTAATCCTATGGTCCCTGGAATACGATCCCCTGCCGCGAAGAATCGTTTTTTCATCCAAGTACACATTTTACTGTTGCGTTAAACGTTGTTGTTGAAAGGCTGTTGCACCCCGTTCTCTCAATGTTTCCACTACGTTAAAATTACGTTGCTTTAATTTTGACTAATACGTTCAAAATACGACGTAGGTGAGAAGACAGGTTAATCATCTATAGGTTTAACAGACCACTGTTATACACTTAACTAAAGTTAACTGAAATTTTAATTTTCTATAATACTCCTTGCGATGATTTCGGGGCTCAACGTCCCTGCGGCCCGGTCCCCGACAAGGCCTCCTGGTCATTGGTCAACAAGTGCCTATATTATTTGGATACATACCTGGTGTTAATATGTATTATGTAGTATTCGGATACATAGTTGCCTAGCATAAGGTAACCTGCGATAGGCCTAAAAATGGCAAAATATATTATTTATTGCCCAATTAAAGCATTACGTCTATGGGGTTCCAGATGTACGATTCAGTATACACTAATTTTTCCTAACTTAACCTAACCTAACCTAACCTAACCTAACCTAACTTAACCTAACCTAACCTAACCTAACCTAACCTAACTTAACCTAACCTAACCTAACTTAACCTAACCTAACCTAACCTAACCTAACCTAACCTAACCTAACCTAACCTAACCTAACCTAACCTAAGCTAACCTAACCTAACCTAACCTAACCTAACCTAACCTAACCTAACCTACCCTAACCTAACCTACCCTAACCTAACCTAACCTAACCTAACCTAACCTAACCTAACCTAACCTACCCTAACCTAACCTATTGTATCGTGACCTAACTTTTCCAAACCTATCTTATCATAACCTAATCTAACATATTCTATCCCATCCTATCCTAAGCCATGCTAACCAAGCTTTTCCTAACCTATCCTAACCTAACGTAACATATCCTATTCTAACCTATTATAAGCCATGCTAACCAAGCTTTTCCTAACCTATCCTAACCTAACGTAACATATCCTATTCTAACCTATTATAAGCCATGCTAACCAAGCTTTTCCTAACCTATCCTAACCCAACGTAACATATCCTATTCTAACCTAACCTAACCAATCCTAACCTAACCTAACCAATCCTAACCTAACCTAACCTAACCTAACCTAACCTAACCTAACCTAACCAATCCTAACCTAAGCCTGCGTTATTCCGGAAAAAATAACAAATCGTATAAAAAAAAATTTGAAGTAAAGTATAAAGTATAAAAAAAAATTGAAGTAAAGATTAATTAATGCTCTGAAAACACACACACTTTAATATTTTCAGAATATTTTCGAATATCATCCAATTCATCACGGGGGCTATTCATGCCCGTGCCACTTCTTGGGTGGTTTAATCTTCATCAATCAATTAATCAATTATTATTCATTTATAGTTATCAATTGTATATTTATTGTCTAACGAAGATGTGGAGTTTGGGTCCAATATTTGTGTTTATGCCTAACGACCAAGAACTGGCCTGACTGCTCGTTAACTGCCTAACTAGCCAAGCAGTTAACTAGTTCTAACGTCACACTACTTATCTGGGTTCATGTTCGAGTACTTGCTTCGCATATATTAAAGGTATACCGGCTTGGGAACTTCACAAGTGTAAGGTTATCTTGAGATTTCGGGGCTTAGCGTTCCTACGGCCCGGTCCTCGGCCAGGTTGCTATTGTTTATCAAGAACCTTGTAGCGCTTACTAACCCAATCGTCTTGCTCGCGGTAAGGAGAGAGATGATTGGGCACGTTTTCTTTCACCTGATGCCTCTGTTTACTAGGGCATCACTAGAAACTAACCTAATCCAACCCAGGCTAACCATACCTAACCCAATCCAACCCAACCTAGGCTAATATAACCTGTCCTAACATAAGGTTTCCTATCCTAACCTAACCTACACTAACTTAACCTATCCTAACCTAACCCATCCTAAACTAACTTGTCTTAATCTAACCT